GAGCCCTTCCGGGCTAGGGGTGGCACCTGAGCAGGGCTCACTGGGCCTCAGCCTACAGGTCCCAAGACCCTCCACATGAGACAGGAGCCCCCCAGGCTGACTCAGACAAGGTCCTGTAGCTTCTCAGGGTAGACTCATCCTAGCAGGGAGTTGGCTTGTGGAAGAAGGGGCTCTCTGAGGACCTGGGGCTCCCTGAGCTCCCCCAAGGTGGGTCCTGACAAGGTCTGCCCACCTGCTGGCCTGAGCCCTAGACTCTGCTATGGGCCACCCTTCTCGGGCAGGGCCTGGTTCATCTGCCCTGCAAGGATCTGCCTGGGCCTCCTGTGGGGTGGGGTGACCTGAGCCCTCCCCCGGGCTAGGGAGCCAGGCACTGTGGGGCAGGAGGGGCCCTGGTCTGGGGCTTGCCATGCATCCTTCTCACCTCAGTGAAACAGAGTAGGAACCAGGCCATGGTGTGCAGCCCTACGGAAAAGCCCTCCTTGTGCTGATGGAAAGAGCAGAGGTGCTTGAGGCCCCCAAAATGTCTCCAAAACCTTCCTGCTCCACGGCTCAGGGACCCCTGGTAGATAGGCTTCCCTAAGGCCTGCCCTGCCAAAGCTCATCCCTGGTGCCAATGCTTCTGTCCCCTCCAGGAAAAGAAAGAGACATCAAACTGCAAACCTATGGAAAATCCCACAACTCAGGAGAGGTCCCAGCTGGGGTTTGGGCCTCCCCTCTGCCCCTGACCCATGGGATCCTCACCTCTGGGAAGGAGTTAGGAGGACCATCCATTCACCATATGTCACCTCAGGTCTGGCAAAGCTCTTCTGAGCACCAGCTCCTGAAGTTCCAGGAGCCTCTGGAGCTTAGGATAGCTGTGGAGATGGAACCCTGAGGCGCCCCCAGGAAGTCAGGCTGCTCCCCTGGTGTGGAGCTGGGAGAGCTGGGCAGGGGATGGTGACCCTGATCCTGAAGCCGCCCACCTCCCATCCAGTAGGGTCTTTGCCCTGGAAACAGGGAGTTGGGGAAGGGAATGTCCTCTGGAGACTGGCTGAACCCAGACAAGGCCATATGAGGCTGGCAGAGATACCAGGGTCGGGGTGGGGTGGAGGAAGCAACTGTCTCCTACACTGGGGTCAGGCCAGAGGGCACACAATGGGGATACAACTGCCATGTAGGCTTTGTCTGGCCATGGGCCAGGAGGATGGCTGGGAAGACAGCCACATGTGAGGCAGAAGGAGCATAGGAGAAAAAGGGTCACCTGGATAAGACCAAGCCAGAGGGGTGTGACTCCAGGACACAGAGAGGCTGAGACATCCTGTGTTGATGGAGACAAAGGCCTCTAGCTCAGGGTGTGGGGGTCCCTGGCCAGCCCTGGGCCCCTGAGGGACCCTTCGCAGGAGGGTCTCAACTGTCCTGGAGGTCGAAACCTGTTGGGGACTGAAGGCACCTTGCCCATGAGGTGGGATCACCCCTGTCTCAGTGGCCATCATCTGGCCGGGCAGTGTAGGGTCCATGGCCACTCTCCACCTCCCCTGCATCTTGTATTTCTCATTGTGCATTAGCTGGACCAGGGCCCAGAAGGCAGCCTCTGCATAGTTTGGTGAGCAGAACATGGTTCATGACCTTGCAGTAGCCCACCTCCTGGAAGTGCCTGGGTCACCATGAAAAGAGGTCACCTGATAGGACAGAGGGCACCTAAGAAGGCAGAGGTCACCTGGAAGGGCAGAGGTTACATGGAAGGGTCCAGGGGTGCAGCCTCTGTGCCCCTCCTGACGTGATGGGTGGGAAGTGAATGGATCCTGTGTGTCTCAGTGCACAGAGAGCTCCTGGAGAGACTCCTGCAGCATCCTAGCTCAAGTGGCCTCAGAGGGCACACGTCCAGGGCCCCTTACTAGGTGCAGGGCTGGGGAGGCCTCTGTGTGGGCTCAGTCATCACCCATGAATCTGTTCTCCCCCATCTGGGGCACTGATGACACGTGGTCCCAAGATGGGCCACGGGTGTCCATGCCCAGGGGGATGGTTGCTAGGTGCTCACCCCGGCATGGGTAGCCCGTGGAATCAGCTCAGCTGCCCTCCCTGGGGGAAGCAGCCTATGGGGTGGGGCCAAGAGGAAACAGATGTCTCAGGGACCCCCCTCCCTGTCCTCTGTCCTCTTCTGGGGTGCAAGGAAGGGAAACTGCTATCTCTGTCAAGTTTCTGATCAGTCATGTGGCTTCTTTGGGATCTGCACTCTCACTTTGACCACAGCCAGGTGCACCAGGCACCTCACTAACTACTGAAATATTTCTGCCAAGAGGAGCAACCTGTTCATTGCTGAGCTGGTGAGGTTTAGGGCAGCCCCATGGCTCCTTCTGACATGTGATGGACAGGTCCAGGCAGGGCCAGGAGTATGCACCCCACTCCTTTCCACCTCTGTCATCAAGGGAAGACCCCACCCCTTGCTCTGGTATCCCTGAGAGCAGCAAGCCTGAGCCCTACCCAGCTGTCCTGGTACATCACAAGGAAAGAAGCAGTGACACCTCTGAGCCTCTCCCACCTGTGGATGTGGGACCATGGCCTGGGCACAGCATTGCTTGGGAAAAGTCGATGTGTTAGAGACAGAGCAGGCCAGGAGTGCCAATGCCCCCTGCTGCCTGGGAGGGAGAAAAGAGTTCTATTTGTTTTCTGCTGATGCAGTCACCTCCAGCTTGTCACACAAACCCTGATAAGGAAACCCAGGCTGGACTAAAATGATGCCCCAATTCAGCATGGAGCTCTCCCAAGGGGCTCAGTTTTTATAACAGTGTTTGGTCAAATCCATATACAGTGAAATTCGAATATCTCAGCTGCTCAGCTGGGTGAGGTTTGTTTCCTCTGGCTGGTCTCCTGCTTTTGTTGTGCATACACAGAAGTACAGTTCCATGTCTGAACCACCCCGACAGCCACTCACAGTAGCAGCTTCCTTCTCAGAATCCCCAGCCTGTCCCCTCTGAGGCCAACCTCACTCCATCAGCCCCCTTCAACCACTGGTCTGTTCTCATCCTCTGTGGGTTGGCCTTTGACAGAAGGGCCGGTCTGCCTGCTGCCCCTGCAGTGTGCAGCCCGTGGGTCTAGCTTCTCTCACTTGCAAACTGTACTAAGGGCACTCCTGCTCCTGCCCAGTTGGGTATATCCCTCATCACTGAGCGGTCTTCTGTTTGCTGAGCGCACCACCCTGTCTTTATCTGCTGCCTTGTGGAAGACCATCCCATTTGTAGTTTTCAGTGGTTATGAATGAAGCAGTGAATGTGGCGCACAGGTCATTGTGAACATAAGTTTTGGAAGCAGTTCAGCTGGGTAAATATCTCTGAGCATGTGTGGTGGATGCCTGTTTAGCTTAGCAAGCAGGTGCCCAACTATCTTCCCAAGTGGCTGTGCCATGTTGTGCCCCCACCAGCCATGGTGAGGCTTCCTATGGTTCCATATACCGCTTCTACCTTCCCTGTGTGTGGTGTCATTCAAGAGTCCCACAGGTCCACCCAAAACCCGGCACGTCCTGGGGAGCACATTCACCATGCAGCCTTGTTTTGGCGGCTGCTACTGTGTCCTCAGGAGCCCAGAAGGTGCTCACAATGTAAGGCTGACTGATCCCTGGCCAGGAGAGCCCTTGGGCTCTTGGGGAGCTCTGTCATGCCCTCCTCTGGGTCCCCTGGTTCCCCTAGGGATCCCCCTTTCCATCTGCATTCCCCCATCTGTCCTGAGACTCTCTATCCCCCAGAAGTCTTGCATGACATTGTACTGCTGCCCAAGAGTGATGAGGTCTCTGAGGGCCAGGATCACATCCAGATCAAGCTGGTACATGTGCCGCAATGACAGCTTGCCCTGTGAAAGGAGTTTCTAGGTGTTCCTCTCTGGCCCTGTCTTTACTAGGGTTTGGTATTGAGGCTGAGCACTTTATAAAACAACTTGGGAGCTTCCATCTTCCTTGGTCTGTAAATCCCAGATAAGGAGCTCCAGCCCTGAGAAGGTCACAGGGAACTCAGCCCTGTTCAGCTCTGGTCCTGGCCATCCTACAAGGGTGGCCCTTGGGTTGTCCTTTGTGGAAAGCCTTTTTTCTCTTCCACATGAGACAGTTTTGCCTGGAAGTCATCCATTTTCTCAGTTTTCAAATGTTAGTGGCAGAAGCATTGGGGGGGATTTCAGGCCCAGGGTCTCAAAGACATTGCCACTGCCTCTGCCTGGATACCTCAGGACTGGCCAGAGCTCCCTACCTGGACACCTCAAGACTGGCTGGCACAGAGTGATTGACTCTGGCTATGACACCCTGTCCTAGGGCCCTTCCTCCACCTTCCCTCCATCCATGGAGCTTACTCTTTCTCAGACTCCAGCACTTGACCCTTTGCCCAGCCTGGACCTGCCAGGAATTCCCTACTGCCAAGTCTGCCATAGGACCAGATCCTGGGACCTCCCAACTTGGAATAAAGTTGAGAGATGGTACTTTCTAAAGGGAAAGGCTTATTGGAATTTGCACAACTGAAAGACTCTAGTAAAATATCGGATGTCAGGGTCACCCGCACATGCCAGCCTCCCTGCAAGACGCACTGCAGTGGCCACCCTATCAATAGACAGATGAGTAAAGGGTGGCCCAGAGAGGGAGGTGATTTGTCCAGAGGCACACAGCATACTGGAGCAGAAGATAAGCAGAATGCAGACGTCCTTCCCGCATGGCCATGTGCCTCCCGTGCTGCCTTTGCTGAGCCTAAGGGGCCTCCTTTCCCCCCTCCTCCCTTTTTCTTACTCCACCTTCTTGTAACCCCAGCTGGGCCTAGTGTTTCCAGCTAATGTTGAAATGGAACCTCAGGGGACTGAAGATCTTGGGAAAGGAAGAAGAGTGGGGAAAGGGGCAGGGGAATGCAGGGAAGAGATGAAGCCCTTCGAGGGGAGGGGAGCAAGGAATGGGAGGCCCACCGGCTGTCCTGGTCAGCTTGGGGTGGGGCTGCTCCTGGCACCTGTGCATTTTCACCAACACCCTTTCTTCTGACCCAGTGATCCCGGAAACCACAAACCCTCATTGGTCCCAGGGGAGTCAGCCTCTTTCTTCCCTCTGAAAGTGTGTGCTTCAGACCAGGAGGAGCTAAGTTAGTTGGTTGGTTCCAGCTCCTTAACCCTGGACACAGAGTTACTGCTGACAGCCCCAATCCAGCCAGAGCTCTGCTCTGTAGCCCTGGAGCTGGAGCTGGTGTGGGCCCAGGAGGTGGAACGCTGCCCTCCCAGGCCTACTCCCAGTGGCATTAAGAGGTCCCTGCAGGGGCAGGAGGGACTAGCAGCTGAGAGAGGTGCCCCAAACCCTTAGGGCCCTGGCTGGGGAAGGTGATTCAGTCTGGTGGGAGCAGGGCTTCTGGAACCAGGAACTGCAACCTGAGTTGGCGCTACCCTACCGCCATGTCACCTGGACAAAAACTGGACCCAATTCCGGACCGCTTCATCCTGCAGCCACCAGTCTTCCACCCGGTGAGCCACCGTTCTGCTCCAGGACCTCCTAGGTCTCTGGGCTCCTCCCCTCTAGCTGGGCCCACACTTCCAGGTGGTGAGTTGGAAAGGACTTCAGTCTTGGGCCTGCTTCACCAGCACCTGCCCTGGGTTTGGGAAGGCCCTCCTGAATTCAGCAAAGCAGCTGACCTGCTAATTCCTACTTTGGTGTGAATGACTGCTGGGTTCCCCGGGTCCCTGCATTTTGAAAATGGTGATGCCTGGAGCTTGGTGCTGCACCCCTATTGTGACCAGAGATGGGAGTAGGGGGTGGAAGGATCTTTGAGGGAAAACTGACTACCTCAAGGGCAAGGGCAGCCTGGTCTCCAGTCTGAAAGAGAGGGTCAGGTGGGACCTCCAACTCCAGGACTGAGGTAGGGTTTTCCCTTTCTCCTCCTGCTCAGGTGGAGACAGTAGATTTTCTAAAGCTGGGAAAGCCTTTACAGAAGGCCAAGCTCACAGCAGACACCCCTGCTACCTTTCTGCTAGTTGGTCCTCTCCTCCCATGAGACCTATATCTGCTCAGTTAATTGCAGGCCTGGAGGGAGCCTGGAACATGACAGCGACTGAGCTTCTGAGCCAGCTGAGCTGTAGGTGCTCTAGCAGGCAGGAATCCAAGGCCTCCTAAGTCCCCCTCATGCCTAAGCCATCAGCAGAATAGTGGCTGCAGGTTACAAGGACCCCTTGCTTGAGGCCAAGATCTCTTGCCTGGAGGACAGCACTGCTGGGTCTCAGCCCTTTTTAGGTTGTCTGGATTTCTAAAGTTGTTGGCAGTTGAAGGGACACAGGAAGGTGTCATGTGATGCCACCAGATGTGCACCTGCCCTACTGTTCAAACTCATTTCACAGACACCAGTGCAGAGTCCCCGCTGTGTGGAGCCAGGCACTGAGCCTGCAGAACTGGAAGACAGGCTTCAGCTTTGGAGGGCTGTGGACTCCCAGTAAGAACAGCCTGCCTGTCCCTCTGAGCCAGGGGCTGAGCAGGCCCTGTGAGCAAAATGCTCTGGGAGCTCAGAAGAGGGGAGAAGTAACCCAGGCGCCTGAGTGGATGATGTTGGAGGAGTCAGGGATAGGGGAGAGCACAGGAACAGCCCAGAAGAGGCAGGAAGGTAAAAGTGTTTCAGGAAGGTCGGCAGCTTCTATGTAGGGAAGGTGGACCTGAGAGGCCATTGTTAGGAGTCTCTCTGGGAGTCTGTAACAGGGTCAGCTCTCTGTTCCCACCTGTCCATCTTCATGCTTCCCAGCTCCTGTGCTCCAGGCATAAATAGTCCTCAGGAAGCCTGGATACCAGGCTTCTGGGGCCAGAGTGGCATCCAGTTGACAGCAAGCCTTGCTGAGGACATGGAAGCCCAGGAGTTGGGGGAGGAAGCTGGCTAGTGGCCAATGGGCCAGTGAGCCTAAAGTTTGCTTCCCTAGTATGTGGCTGTGGATGAAGGGCCAGAAAGGGGAAGTCAGTGGAGGAGACTGTTTCAGAGAAAGCTTGTTTTTCCCCAGAAGGATATCTGCTGTCTGGGGAGGGAAAGTTAAGTCTTCTTGGTCCTCTTCCCTCCTCACTTCCCTGTCAAACAGGCCCCAGGCCTTTTCTCTAACTCTGCCACCAATGGGTTTCTCCCCTTGTTCAGGTGATTCCTTATGTCACAACAATTTTTGGTGGCCTGCACACAGGCAAGATGGTCATGCTGCAGGGAGTGGTCCCTCCCGATGCACACAGGTAAGGGGGGTGGCCTGGGGGATGCTGAGCTCAGCCCTAGAGGCATCAGGCTTCTCTCTGCCCTCAGGGGTCTGGGGTCTCTGACCAGGACTGCACTTTGAGGGCCTCCCCTCTGGCCAGGTTTCAGGTGGACTTCCAGTGTGGCTGTAGCCTGTATCCCCGACCGGATATTGCCATCCACTTCAACCCTCGCTTCTACACCACCAAGCCCCATGTCATCTGCAACACCCTGTATGGTGGACGCTGGCAAAAGGAGGCCCGGTGGCCCCACCTGGCCCTGCAGAGAGGGGCCAGCTTCCTCATCCTCTTCCTCTTTGGGAATGAGGAAGTGAAGGTGAGCAGAAGAGGTGGGCATCTTTCCACCCTTCCTTCCTCAGTCTAACTCCCCTGTCACCGTGCAGAGTGGCACTAGCGGAGGGAAGGCTGCCCTGGGCCCACATGGCCCCAAGAAAGCTCTTTGGTGCCTGGCCCCAAAGAAGGCCTCGCTGCCCTAATCAGAGCAAGCAAACAGGGAGCACCCTCTATATGCCAGACGTGTTCCGAGCCCTTTAAGTTAACCAGCTCATTCAATCCTCACAGGAACCCCAGGAGGCAGACATTATGACTATTACCATCTCACATGGAGGGTGTGGGTGTCAGGGAAGGGAACAGAGGACTCCCCCACAAGGCTTTGACCTCTGATGTGGACTCCTGCCAAGAAGACAGGTGGCTGGGGGAAGGGGGACTTGTGGGATACAGGTTATCACCCAGCTCTCAGGCCTCAGTTTCCTCACCTGGACGGAATGCTCGTGATGCTGCAGTGTGCTGAGAAGCCACAAGGAGGCCCATGAGGAAGTGCCTTGTCCAGATCAGGAGAGGCACTAGAGGTGCCTTGGTCCCAAGGTCAACTCTGCAAGCTTCGGTGGGTTACCTGAGCTCCCCAAAGGCACTGCAAAATGTCCCTACCTCATAGAGTTGCTGTTATGTTAAAAGAGGAAACTCCAGGTAACAGTGCTCGGTGACGCCAGGCTGTTACATGTGCATTATGAACCCCATGCTCATTAGCTCCTGTCTCCCTCCAGGTGAGTGTGAATGGACAGCACTTTCTCCACTACCACTACCGGCTCCCACTGTCTCGTGTGGACACTCTGGGCATATTTGGTGACATCATGGTGAAGGCTGTTGGATTTCTGAACATCAATGTAAGTTTTTTTGGCCCAAGGCTTCTGACTTGGACAGGCAAGGGACCCCTCCCCAACCCCAGACTGAGAGAAGGAGGTGCCCTTTACCCCAGTAATAGCCCAGGAGGAGGAAATCCATGGAGCTGTCGGGTGTGAATGGGGTGAAGGGAGAGGGACATGACGGGAGAAATGGGGCCCTGGCAGCACAGCAGGAGCCTGCACTGGGTGTGGGCCAGTTAAGCACATTAGAGCCCAAACAGGCCGCAGCCAGTTCCATCATGCCCACCTGATGAGCTATTTCAAAATACGGACATCTGGGACCTGCCTCCAGAGAGCCTGATAAGTAAGCCTAAGTTGAGACCTAGGAATGGGAATGTTCAAAATGCCAAGTTTAGGGAGCACTGACCAGCCATGTAGGAGGCATGAGACCCTCCCAGGCATAGGCCAGAGGGCTTGCAAGGGTCCTGAGTGCTGTTGTTCTTTTTCCTTTTGAACAGCCATTTGCAGAGGGCAGCAGAGAGTACCCAGCTGGACATGTGAGTCTCCTGGGAGGAAGGGTGGGCAGCCAATAGCTGAGCCAGCTGGTCCTCCCTCTGCCATAGCCTGCCCTGCCTTGGCCTGCCAGGCTGCTATACCCTTGTTCAAGGATTGTCTGTCCCTGGCCTCACTGCTACAGTTGCCACGGTCATAGCTGGCTCTGCTTCCATCCCTGGAAGGTCTGAACTGGGTTCCCCAAGCAGATGGATGGGGATGGGCTACTGCCTGGAGAGGGCAGGGACCCCACATTCCTATTAGGAGATGCCTGCCCTTCAGTAGGATATTTCTATTCTCAGAGCAACCCTGCAAGGGGTGATGAGGCCTCTGTACTTGCCTAAGACCACACAGTGAGCAAGTGACAGATCCACGGTCCACTTCTTCCCCCTGTTCCATACCTGGAGAACCTCTGAATTCAAAAAGACCCCACTGGGGCCCCAGTGACTCATCTACTGCAAGAGAGAGACAAGCCCCAGATATCCCCAACTTATAAGAATAACAGTAAGAGTTTCCTTTGCACTGAGCAAATGCACATAGCCTTTATCCCCCTTTCTTTCTCTGACAGCCTTTCCTGCTAAGAAGCCCCAAGCTGGTGAGTGAGCCTCCCTCCTCCTTGCCCTGGAGGTACAGCTCCTGGCCTGCCCAGTGGGCAGGAGGGTTGGGCAGAGGCTAGAGAGCTGCAGAGGTGGGAAATGCCCTCAGCCTCAAGTTTTCCCTTCTTTGTAGAAAGCGTGGGCTGTGGGTGGTGGGCAGCTCCAGGCAGAAGCTCCAGCTTCGTTTGCCTTTCCTCCATTTATTCTGCACAGTTACTTGCTACTCCTGGTGCTAGGCCCAGTGCCAAGTTCTCAGATAGAGGCACAAGCCAGTCCCAGCCTTGTGGTTGCTCCTGAGCTGGTGGAAAAGGCTGTTGAGTGGCTGCTACAGTCTAGGGTGCAGCGAGGGAAGGAGGACATAATGCTTACCAGGGCACAGAGAGACACTAAGCTCAGCCTGAAGGGGGCGGGAAGGGTTTTGTCAACAGTGGGATCGCAGGAGGCCCAGCCTGCACCAGGCATCTAATAAAAGAGCTGCATCTCCTGGCTACAGTCCTGGAGGCAGAAACAAGCCTACTCCTGTGCTCTCCAGTTCCAGAGGAGGTGGCCCTCCCTGAGCCCTCTGTGAGAGGTCTTCTCAGTCGCTTCCCCTGTTCCTTCAGGAGGTGCCCTGCTTACGTGCTCTTCCCCAGGGTCTCTGGCCTGGGCAGGTCATCGTGGTGCGGGGACTGGTCTTGCAGGAGCCAAAGGAGTAAGTATCTAGTACCCACCTGGGAGCAGCACCTCTACTGGGCACATTCTTATAAAACACCCCCTCTCTTAATCTCTTGGCACTACCACTTACCTCCCTCTCATGGATAAGCACACAGAAGGGCAGAAAGGAAAGTAAGTTGCCCCAGGTCAGAAAGTCTATGAAAGTCTGTCCCAGTAGCTCCACCTGGGAGCATCTTCCCTACCAGCACATCTGGTCAGGCCAACTGGCCCCTTGTCACAGGTCCCAAGAAAGGAGCCCCATAAAAGGGCCTTTTCAGGTGCAGGATCCGGAAGGATGGGTCTCCCAGGGGGACACAATACACAGTTCAGCCAGGCTGCCCAGAAAGGAGGCTGCGACTTGGAGAGACACAATTATTAGGTGGACACTGCCCAGCTTCTCCTGCAGGGGCACTGAAGTGCAGACCCACTGCTCCAGAGTGGTTAGACAAGGGCCCACCTGCCTGCCCTGGAGAGATGCTTCAAATTTTATGACTTTTCTGGGCCAGATTGCCTGCATTGGCATCTGCCTAGGAGACTTACTGAGCAGATGCCAACCCAGGCAGTCCGGCCCAGTTTCCTTCTCTGTAAGAAGGGGATAATAATAATCCTGGCATCAGGACTGATGCTTAGCATAGTACAGGGCATGTAGTAAGTGCTCCACAGGGAAGGGAAGGGAGGACCCTGTGTTCTCCCCACTTTATTTTGTTTTTATTTTTTAAGTTACTGACTTCAGTAAATCCTTGCCCTGCATGCTCCTGATCACGCCTGTGAGTTTGGGGCAGGGGCAGGCACAGTACACAGCACCGGATAGCACAGGCAGGCTATGACTGGGTTGGATTGCTGGTGTGCCTCTTATAAACTGTGTGGTCTTAAGAAGGTCACTAAACCTCTCTGAGTCTGAGTTTCCCTATTGGAAAAAGGAGGAAGATAATCCCAACCTGATAAGGAAAATGGAAAGATGCCATTGGTAGAATGAATGCTTCCTCTCCCCAAAACTTGGAGGCCTGAGACCAGGTTCATCTCCTGGCTCAGAGTCACAAAGTCATTAGTGACATGGTTAGTGACACAGCTCTTTCCCAAGGCCAAGGGCCATGAAAGAACACTTGTGTTGTCAGAGGATCACATAAATATGGGGCACACTGCTGGGAGAGCCACAAAGTAGAAAGAATATTTCCATAAACCAAACTGTTTCAGATCTTCTGATTGTTTTTAAAGAGAACTTGTAAGCCATATTTCATATAAACTCTCTCAAGTTCTGAATATTGCATTAACTTAAAGATGAAGAATACTATGGGCAGAATATTCCTATAGGCCAGTTTGGCTGCGGTCCATAAACATCAAGACCTAGTATAGGGCCTGGGCTGTAGCAAGGTGCCACAGATACCTCTCCTGCTGCCACTATGTTCTGAAAGTAACAGATGGCTTGAATTGAATAGAGGAAGCAAAAGTTGGCAGGCATGGGGCTCATTTGCAGTTAAAATCCTTCCCTTTTTTCTACCCCAGCCCCTGCCCCACATCCACCATCAGTGGGGGCTCCGACTGCAGCCTCAGAGAGCTTCACAGCCATCCAAGGGAGCCCATCTAGGGCTGTGCTGGATAAGGGTGAGGTGGGGGATGCTGAGGCTCCCAGGAGTTCTCAGGCTATTGGGAAGACAGAGCCTTATCCGGGGGGGGGGCACAAACTGGGGGGCCTGACACTCTCCCAGCCACCATGAAGCTGGGGGCTCCATGGCCTTTACTCTCTAGGGTCCTAGACTTCCAAGTGTCTTCCCAAAGCTGCAGGGGATCCATACAAGACCCTGAAAGGCCAGCCCAGTACAGGCTTCCCCCACCTTGCTCCACTCCCTGCATGCTTCATGTCCTGTTGAGGAGCTGGTCAGCACCCACCCAGGGGCAGAGTGTCAAAGAAGGACACTCCGGAAGGTCCAGGACATGAAAAAGAATCAGGCTGCCCTATTGGGAAAGCAGGTGTCAGGCAGTAGGAAAAAAAACAAAACTCACATCTGGAGTCATAAATCCTAGTTCGTGTCCCAGCCTGACACCAAAAGCTCTGACCAGTGAGACAGCAAGTCACTTGACTTCTCATCCTCATCAGCCAAATGGGTGAGAGGACCTCACAGCACAGACATGGGGAGGACACCTGCCAAGTGCCAGGAATCACTACTGTTCAAGTTGTCCCCTTTGTTCCTGTTTGTATGTGTATATTGCCCTGTGAGGTAGAGATTATATTACACAGTAATATTTTTTAAACAGTAGGTCCCATCTGAGTGCTTGCTACGTGCAGGTGCTGTTTTAAGCACTTTACATATATTAATTCATTGAATTCTTATAACCACCCCCAAAGCAGGTACAATGTGATTATTATCCCACATCCAGATGAGGAAACTGAGGCACAGAGAGATTAAGGAACTTGACCAAGCTCACAGGACTAGAAAGTAGCAGAGCTGGCATTGAACCTGGGTAGCCTGGCTTTAACCACTAAGCTACTGGCAAAACATTTAAGACAATACCTGACACTTAGTTGGCATTCAAGAAATGTTAGCAACTACTATTATAATCCCCATTTACAGAGGGAGAAACTGAGGCTCAGGCTAGGTGATTTCCAACTCACCCTCCCAAGCCATAGTCCTCCCATCAGTAGATAGCAACACAGGAATTCAATTTCAGGTTCATCTGGGACTCTTTCCTTTACTCTGAGCTGTTCTGTGTCCAAGTGTCCAGCTCTGAGCCTGTCATAGACCTTAGCACTTGCTTTTGGAGGCAGAATCTTCTGGCCACACACCCACCTCACCCTCTCCCCTCAGGACTCAGTGATGGCCTCAGAGCAGCAGAAACTGGTCCTCTCCTCCCTCCTCCTTCTGCTTCCTGCAGTTTCACTCTGAGCCTGAGAGATGAGGCCGCCCAAGCTCACGTGACACTCAGGGCTTCCTTCCCAGACAGAATTCTGGCCTGGATCTCCCCATGGGGACGGAAGAAACTGATCTCTGCCCCCTTCCTTTTTCACCCCCAGCGATTCTTTGAGGTGGGTCAGAGCCAAATGGCCACATCCCTCTAGGATGACCACAGAGCTGAATTCCCACGATGACCTGGAAGACTATGGGGTCGATGCTGGGGTGGGTGAGCAGGGCAGATGTGCTGGGGCAGGGAGGAGGTCCATGTGATGGCCTTCAACCCTCTGAGCTGATGCCAGCACTCAGATTAATTAATGCGTGAGGTGGAGGACGGCAAGCACCAGCTTCACGAAAACACTCCCCTAATGTTCCCAACATACAGAACCGCTTCTCAGCAGGAAGTAACCCAGCTACAGTGAATAAACTGAGGCCAGGGCTGGGAAGATTCTGTCAAAGCCTGCAGTGGGCCGATGACAAGCTGGGCCATACCCTTTTCTCTCCAGCTCTGGGTTCCCCCTGAGGTTCAGTCTCTGCCTCCACTGAGGGAGGAGGGTGTTGCTAGGTAGTGTCAGGCAGGCGTGAGAGAGTCTGCCAGGAAGCCACCACCTGCTCATGCCCCCTCCCCAGGTGCTGCTCCTGTGCCAGGAGGGAGGGCTGCAGCTGGCACTCAATGGGCAGGAGCTGGGGGCCACCAGCCTCGGCCAGCAGGCTCTGGAGCGGCTGCGAGGCATCCGAGTCAGTGGAAGCGTCCAGCTCTACTGTGTCCACTACTGAGGGGAACTCTGGTCAAGGAAGAGGCCGGCCAGACAGTGCCCAGGGCCCCACAAAATGGGCCCTACTCTCCCCCACTTCATTAAACTGTTCACCTGTCGTCACCACATCAGGTCTGGTTGGCTTCTGGGTCACTAGATTGAGTCTGCTCCAGCTTTGGGCGGCCGGCAGAGGGCAGGCATGAGTTGGGAAGGCTTGTCTGACTGGGCCCCTGCCTCTGCCTTCAGGGCGAAGGAGTGCTCGAGGAGGCAGATTTTGAAGCCAAACAGAGGGACTCCAAAAAAGTGGCTTGAAGAATTTAGATGTTTATTTCCTTCTCACCTGAAGGGATTTGGGATCATCAGACGAGGAGGTCTTGACACGAAGAATGAACAGGCTTGACAGAGTCTGTGTTGGGGGACTAAAGAACTCTGGGAAGAGCCCTCCCAAGTAAACCTCAGGTCCTATATTTATTAAAACAGGAAGAAGTAGACAAAAGCTGCTAGTCCCATATTAGCACTGATTAGGGAGGACGTGGAGAAGGTCAGATAGAATGTTTTCACCTTTGGGCGACACCTATGGCTCAGTGGGTAGGATACTGCCCCATATACCAAGGGTGGCAGGTTCGCACCTGGCCCTGGCCAAACTGCAACAAAAAATAGCCAGGCGATGTGGCGGGTGCCTGTAATCCCCGCTAATCAGCAGACTGAGGCAAGAGAATCACCTAAGCTCAGGAGTTAGAGGTTGTTGTAGGCTGTGATGCCACAGTACTCTACTGAGGGCGATAAAGTGAGACTCTGTCTCTAAAAAAAAAAAAAAAGAAGAACATCTCCACCTTTGTTTTTGCAAAACCGCAGACCTTGAGCACAACCTCGGCCTCCAGCATCAAGAGACTTTTGGAATCTAAAGAATCTTTACCATAATTATTATTGCCACACTTCACATATACATTTTCTTTTGGAGGCCAGTTTCTCCTGTATATATACAACTCACATGCCATTCTTGTGATTCTCTAAGTCTCAAGCAGGAAGCGAGTCTTATGCTAAAGATCAGGGCTCAGTTTCCCCTATACTCACCTAGCAACTCTGGAGAAGATGGTCTAGGTCAGTGGGGCAGCTGGTCTCCCCGGGAACATTTGGGGTCTGTCCTAACTGTGGTTCCACCACCTCCATTGTTGGCATTGTCACTGTAGGCAGAGCTGAGGCTTGGTTGCCACCCCATCTTGGTTCAGGCCACTGAGAAGGTAAATTATAGAGACGGTGGACAAGACCCACTTGATCTCATAAGCCCCAAACTGGAGCTAGCACACATATCTACATTCACATTTCATCCTCAGGCACTTGAGTTCATGGTGTTCTCCATAGGACAGCCATGTGCCCAGCCTCAATGCTGTTACCATAAAAGACAGGAAGAATGACTTTGTGTGGATACCCAGACACAGAAAAAGGGACCTGCTGTTAAAATACTAATTTTATAAAGCGGGAAACTAAGGTTCGGAGAAGCTATGTAACTTACCAAGATCACACAGACAGTAAGTGATGATGCGAGGATTACAACCAGGGATTCTTTGTGTAGAGTGTGATGCTCTTAACTCCTGCCCTATAGCGCCTATAGGGTAACACACTAAAACTTTCAGATAAAGGTGGATGTGGGAGCCAAGGCTTGGAAGAGACCAAAGAAACTCACAAATTGAAAAGTATGAACAAGATAAAAGGGCAAACAACACCAAGGAAACAGAAAGGTTAAATGAAAAATAAGAATTTAATAATTGACTTGGCACCTGTGGCTCAAATGGCTAAGGCGTCAGCCATATACACCTGAGCTGGCGGGTTCGAATCCAGCCCAGGACCACCAAACAACAATGATGGCTGCAACCAAAAATTTGCCAGGCATTGTGGTGGGCACCTATAGTCCCAGCTACTTGGGAGGCAGAGGCAGGAGAATCACTTGAGCCCAGGAGTTGGAGGTTGCTGTGAGCTGTGATGCCACGGCACTCTACCCAGGGCGACAGCTTGAGGCTCTGTCTCAAAAAAAAAAAAATTTAATAATTATATATAATTTTACATATCATATAAAAATACATACTATATAACAGTGTGTATTATCCTATACAATAATATATATGGTATGGACTGAACATTTATGTCCCCCTCCAAATTCCAATGTTGAAATCCTAACATCAAGGGTGATGAGTTTAGCCTTTGGCTTCACCTTCATGAATGAGATTAGTATCTTTATAAAAGAAACCCCAGGGAGCCCCCTCCACCACATGAGGTCACAGCAAACAGATGCACATCTATAAACAGCAAAATGGATCCTCGCCAAACACTGAACCTGCCAACACCTTGATCTTGGATTGGATTTCCTAGCCTCAAGAACTATGACAAATAAATTTTTGTTGCTTATAAGTTACCCAGTTTAAACAGGCTAAGACAATATACTACATAACACATTATATACCATATTACCTATTATATTTGTATATTTTATATTTAAATATTTTGTATTTATGCATTATATTTATAAGTATTGAGAATTAGTAAATAGAAAGAATAAAAGTTAAAATATCATCCATCTCAATAGGCAAAACTGAGTTCTGTTTTGCTAAGAAATAAAATCTACTTGTACACTTGTACATTCTTGTACATTGCTTACAAGAAGCACTTCCCTTTTTTTTGAGACAGAGTTTCACTTAGTCACCCTGGAGTTGAGTGCTATGGCATCATAGCTCACAACAACCTCAAACTCTTGGGCTCAAGCGATTCTCTTGTCTCAACCTCCCAAGTAGCTGGGACTACAGGTGCTCACTACACGCCTGGCTAATTTTTCTATTTTTAATAAAGACAAGCTCTCCTTTTGCTCAGTCTGGTCTTGAACTACTGAACTCAGGCAATCCACCCTCCTCGGGCTCCCAGAGTGCTAGGATTACAGACGTGAGCACTTCTAAAGTAAGATGACAAGAAGGTTGTCTCTTCTAACTCTTAGCCACCTTGTGGAGGTATTATTTATTTAGTTGTTCACTTGTTTATTATCTCTCTTTCCCACAGAATGGTTTACTCCATCCAGGCAGGAGCCATACATGACTATTTTGCTGACCACAGTACCTAGTGCATTCCTTCAAACTATTAGGAATTCAAGCAACAATAATGATATCTGTATAGCATATTCTATGTGCCACCCACTGTTTGAAGCACCTTACACACATTTCATGAACTCTTCACCAGGGCCCTGTGTGCTATCTCCATTTTACAGATGAGAAACTGAAGCTTGGGGAGATTCAGTCTGGGCACAGAAAAACATTATACAAAGAAAGCAAGAGTGGTGATATGAATACTAAATGAACCATGAGTCAAAACCAAAAAACATCCACAGGGTCGGGGTGGGGGATGTTTTAGAATCCCAGACTGTATGTTTTGCACAGAAGAATTCAAGCCATAGACCTTTATGCTCTCTATGGTAGTGAGGCCAAAAGTCCCTGGGAATAAAAGGTGAATTTGAGGAACCCCCAATCATGCAGACGATGCTATCAGTTACACTGCAGTAACAAAACTCACATCTCAGTGGCAGAAAACAGGAAATGCTTATTTCCAAAGCCCACTATATATTCACGTGTCCACCGTAGGCTGGCTGGGGCTCTGCTTGTCATCACTGAGGTCCTATGATGGGGGAAGGCAGCCTCAATGGCAGAGGGAAAAGTGACCAAAGACCAAAATCTTCATGGGTTCGTAAAGCGCCTTCCCCAATGGCATGCGCAAGTCACATGGCCACACTGGAAAATACCTACTTTTCTTGGGCCTCGAAAGGGAGAGAACAAATATTTGTCAGTGGCACTACAGAGACTTTGACACATGATTCTCAGTACTTGGCAGATAAAGTAGACCAAGAAAAAAGAAAGGATATACAGGATTTGAATTATATTATCAAATAGCTGAAATGAATAGATATTTTTATAACTTTGTACCAAACAAGCAGAAAGTAATATTCTTTCGTCATGTCCATTTACCAAAATCTATCATGTATTTATAGTAAAGGAAAATTTTAGTAAGTTCCCCACAGTAGAGATTCTATAGCAAATATGCCCTTATCATAATCCAATAAATCTGGAACTCAGTGACAAAAAGATAACTGAGATGTGACCTCCTGCTAACTTGTCTTCTAGACAAGATCTAGAGCAAAGAAGAGGTGACAAGTGAGTGGGCACACAGACCCCAAGGCCCAGGAAAAGGAAGGGGTGTCAGCAACTCATCCCAGGCCCCACCCTGCTAAGCCCTGTGTTCTGTTCTTATCCCCTTGGCATTTCTGCTGTACCCTTAAAGTAAAAGCTAAAGTCTTAGAGGGTAGATCCCCATTCTTTTTTTTTTTTTCAGGCTACTATAAAGGTACAAACAACTGTCCCCCCACACAAAAGGTGTGCAAATACCCTTACATTGAGTCCATTAAGTGGCAGCACACCAATCCCCTCTCCTGCTCTCATCTTCCCCCTCCATCATTCCTCCTCCTCCCACCATGAATTGAATTGAGGTTTTTTCCTATGTTAGCATGAATTAAATTGTCTGATGACTTCATATTGTATTGAGTACATTGGTTATTTCCTTTTCCATTCTTGTGATACTTACTAAGAAGGATATGTTTCAACTCCATCCAACATTTTAACAATGTTGATTATTCCCAGCCAATAGCATGGTATGTTTTTCCATTTGTTAATGTCTTCAGCTATTTCTTTTCTTAGGGTTTCATAATTCTCTTTGTAGAGGTCCTTCACCTCTTTTGTTACGTATATTCCTGGGCGGGGGGGGGGGGGGGTTTGTTTGGGGTTTTTTTCCAGTTTTGGCCAGGGCTGGGTTTGAACCCTCCACCTCTGGTATGTGGTGCTGGCACCCTACTCCTTGAGCCACAGGCACCATTCAGTATTTCATTTTCTTTGAAGCTACTGTGAAGGGAATTATGTCTTCAATTAGCTTCTCAACTTGGCTGTTATTGGCATATACAAAGACTACTGATTTGTGGACATTGATTTTATACCC